TTATTATTATTATTATTATTATTATTATTATTATTATTATTATTATTATTATTATTATTATTATTATTATTATTACAATCAGCCAAATGTTCAGACTGGGTTTGGCATTTTTGCCTAGCTATCGAGTCCTTACCAAGGACCTGGGATAGGCAAATCTGGATGGAAGCCGCAGGATGGAAGCTGTTCCAAGTAAAGCTTTCAGACTCATGTTGGAGCCCATCTTCAGAGAGAACTTCCCTGAAAATGGGCTCCAGCATGAGTTGGAAAGCTCGTAAGACAAAACCTCTGGTCCTGAAGACTGACGCAGATATGATCCTATAGTATTATTATTATAGTAACCTTGTTACTTTCGGGATGATGCTGTTGTCATGCAATTCCTTTCCCATTATACTAAGGTTAGGATCTTGAAGATCATTTATTTGGCGAAGAGTAGGGTTACTAATTCATTCAAGCAGTCAGTGTTTGCCAAGGGTTCTCATTTATGATGTTATCCAGCAAGAAGTCCTCAAAAGCAGAAATTCTCTGTGAGGCTCCTTTTCTACGGAACAACTTGCCTCTGAAGGCATGAGTGGCCCTTTCCCTCACTGATATTCCAAAAACATGTTAAGACTTGCTTATGTTGAAAGGCCACTGGAAAGTGGATGGAGTAATTTATGGGCACAGATTTTATGTTATGCCCTATCTATTGTAGAAGAATGTATTAATTAATAATCTATTAAGTGTTGTACCTTATGATTCTTGACTCTTGATGAATGTATCTTTTCTTTTATGTATGCTGAGAGCACTTGCACCAAGACAAATTCCTTGCGTGTCCAATCACACTTGGCCAATAAAAGAATTCTCTCATTCTCATTTATTACTCTGTTATTATTGAATTATTTTATTGCTGTGGTGCATATTGCTGATCATTTAGAGGCATCTAAACTGAAATAATATAAAAGGGTCCATAATGAAAACACAAGAAAGGACTTGATCATACAAGAGGCTCATCTAATACCGCATTCTGGCAAACCCTATATATATCTGGAAAGCTCATGAGCAAGGTTTGGAGAGCAATATCTTTCTTCCATAATTGCTACCTTTCAATTGGCACGTTGGTTGTGTTGTTTTTCATTCTGATAAGAAAGGCTTGATGTATGTGCCCCTGCCAACCTCTGTTTTCTCTTTCAACCAAATTCCATTTCTAGTCACCTCTGTGCCACAGAATGATTTAGTTTAATGCAGTACCAGGGAAGTGGTCTGACAGCCCATGTTTTGGAGACAATTACAAACAATCATTGGAAAAGGGAAACAAAAGTATACCAAAGAACATTTTCTAAAGCTTGTGGGCTGTTTGGTCTCCTTAGTATTCTATTCTAATTGATTTAGCTTTATAGCTATAGCATACAGTTTGATATTTGTGCCTTAGAAGAGGATGGATACTTCTAGGAATCACAGGAGGTGGGCAGAACAGGGGAAATACCCAGATCAATGTTCAATGATGGTCTCAGTCCTGCACTGCAACAGCTGCACTGCAAAAGCAAGGTTGCAGAGGGTTATCCCATCGTTCATCTCTCCTATACTGTATATTTTTTCAGTGTATAATCCTAGCAACTGGATCACACAGATCAGCAGAACTGCAATAGTATGAATGAAATCTAATTGTCCTCTAATTCATGAACTGAAATTATAGTAGAAGTAATATGCTGCTGGAAAATGTTGCACTGTTGAAGTAGCTAAGACATGTATTTATACTTGGGTAATGAGAATTATTGGGTCAAATATTTATTTCGGTAATGAACCGATTTAAACTCCGAGTTATGGACTCAAAAGGATTGGAAACAATTCCACACTACTTCTGCCAAAATCATATATTGTACCTTTAGTGTCTTCATCTTCAATGGTGGTATTTGTACTCTCTGAAGATTCCTGGATCAGAAAAGAAAGAAAAAAAGCAAAATGTTGGAGCAACGTAAGACTTTTTCAACTTGGTGGCAGAACTGTTTGTTAACCTCTCATTAAGGTTTTACCCAAACAGCATCAAACACTGCAAAGGAACAAAAACCAGGTAAACATCAGTACAGGTCAATAACTGCAGCTCTTCTTCTGCATCTGTAACACTTGCCCTGACTTCTATCTGAAACTTACAAAACTAAGCAGGAGGTCCGACTGCATCATCATGTAAAATTTTAATTGCCTTTCTTGCAATTGTCTACCATCATAAACAAGACCGATCAGTATAGCAGGAATGAAGGTCCTGAAATCTCCTATCATTAGGAGGAATAAGAGGGCTGTGTAGAAGTGAAAGACAGTATGTACAAATTAACAGGAGGGAACTAGGATGAGGGAGAGAGGGAGACTGTGCAGGAGTGAAAGAGGCCACACTGGGTGCATAGTAAAGAAAGAAATGTACAGTAAAACAAAGAGGGTTTCTAAGACCCACACAGACCATCAAAACCTGACACACACTTTCTTCCATAAACAGCCAACTGGTACACAAATTAACATGGAGAAAGGGGACCCATTTACTCTCCAACATTATCAACAAAACAGGTCTGGTACTAGGATTACTCATTCATCCCACCAGAGACTTTTTTTTTTACATATCTTGGTCTCAAACAACAAATTGACCAAGCTTCATCAGCTGTCTGATTGCTTGTGACTGCACAGTTCCAGCGGAGTCATATTAGATAGCCTTTTCCTTCATGTCTCCTTGGATGGAGGCAGTTTGCACATCTGCTAAATGATAAGCACCATTGAAAACCTTTCTCTAGAAATTCAAATTAGATTCTCAGTGCTCTTCAGTGGGCTTCAGCTTCTTTTTGTGCCACCCATTCCTGTTTAATGGGATTTGTAGGGGAGATGCTGCACCGAAGAGGTTCAACCTTCAACCCAACCCTCTATGTTTTCTAAGAACAGGAATGGTTGGAAGACGTTGAGAGGCCCAACATTATCAGCATTGAGGAAGACAAAGGACACTCACCATTAACTGAACGCTGGAACTGGACTTTCTTTTCTGGAAAAACAAGGAGAAGAGATGGGACAAGAAGAGACACAGAGTGAAAAAGAAAGAAGTGAGCAGAACATGGGGTGCCAAGGAACCTGGGAAACTTGTGGTATTCCCTCTAAGAAGATGGGTTTTCTTGTGGGTAAGCCTGATGCTTAATTGAAGAGTTCCGTGTCTTCAATAAAGACAGAACAACCACTGTACACAGCATGCTAGCCTAAAATTTCCCACTCAAGGAGCAATTCAATCAACGTAGTCCAATTCACACCCTAAGTGCTACTCATCTTTGCTCCCTATGAATCTTGTTACCTTAATACAGCCTTGACATCTAATTCTCAACTTAGTTCATTTCTTATCCAAGCCAAAGCAAATAGTTCCAAGTGGAAATTTTCCAAGCTGAATGCACATTAGATATCAGACTAGAACTAACTGCCTTGCCAAGAGGAAAGATTGTAATCCTGCTAGTAGAATAGGCAAAAACTGTTCATTTAGAATCAGAAGATAAGCTAGAAGGAATTCAATCAACCCTCTAACTCCACTTAGTGAGGCAGGACATGTTACAACACCAATATCTGAATCTTTCTTAAATAATTACTGAAGTGCTGAAAGCCTCTTACTTTACTAATCTAAAACTCTACACTTGGTGCAGCTGACATCCATTGCTTCACAAAATGATTAATGGGTGTATTCTTCTAAAAACACATTTACAGAGTATTTTGCATGGATACGTGAAGCATATCTGATCCCACACAATCACTTTTCAAGATGCCCACATTATACATCTGCATTGATTACCAGGTAGCAAAACTGTAGGTTTGATGTAGGCCTTAGTGACACTGGAATACAGAATACAATTTTGCCTGGAAGGGAAATTTTTCCAAGGAAAATCTGGAAACTGGATTTTAATGATGACAAAGTATTTTCATTCCCACTAAAAAGAAGAGGGTTGCTAAGCTTTTTACTTGGAAACAAAAATAGTTAATACATGCTATTTATATTATGTCTGCTTCTTTCCTAGATTTCTACAAAGTGCAGTAATCATTAACCTTATGTAGGAATGTGTTAACACATGTCTTCATTAGAATTTTTTTAAAAAAATAAGATTTTAAAAATAGATTTTTACTATATATTAACTAATGCTGCAAAATACACGTTTTAATTACAATCTAAGGAGCAGAGATTATATTTCATATATTTCATATAACCTCGGAATGGCATCAAAAATCACCTATATACTAAATGGTGAAAATCAGCCTCTCATTAATTACAGACATGGATTCATGTTACACCACATATTAGCACTTTGCGTATTAAGAGCAGAAATCCTAGAAATAACTCAAGAAATATAATTTACAACTTTGCCTTTAATTCATGATGAAATTACTTCACATTGCACACTGGAAGGGAATTGACTTGCTACATTTCAGAAGTTCAGTGAGCACTCAAAAATGTTTTGAAGTTCCCTCTTATCTCCCCTCTCATCATTACTATCCAGTTTTGATTTTTGTACTCTGCTTTGCTTTGGCAGCAATCCCAGTAATTCTTGTGGCCATGCCTACTCAGACAAGGTAGAAAGTGCCTTGAAGTAGTTGTGCTGCCCTTCCAAAAGGATGTAGCATCTCAGCACTTCAGATAGTGGGTTCAGCTGAGCACTTCAGCTGCTTCACACGGCTCTTAGAAACTGGTTTCAAATGTGAGTATTGCAAATTAAATTATGATATGTTTCAGATCATGTGGGTAGAAATAGCAATTCATGTCCATTAGCATCAGGGATCCTCACTCTCTTCTATCATCTATGTATAACGTAACTTGTTTTAAATGATTGCTTCGCAGTTCTCCTCTGAAAATTATTTTTAAAAAGGAAAACAGTTCTTACTATCTACAGTGGAACTAGCTAGGCTATGATCTATGGTAATTCCACTGAAAACCTAATAAAAGGTACAATAGGAAATCTTACTGGACAATAATTATAAAAGTAATCAGACATAACATGATGCAACACAAAAGCAGTGGCCTCATTTAAGTAGGACAAACATACAGTAAAAGAACACAGTACAGGGATGTGAACTTAGTACTTTAGGACATAGGATGGGACATGGTAGAGTGCAGTGATTGCATTAATTTAGTGGAGATGTGATTCTGAATGGAGTTGTGAATGTTATTGTGTAGCCGTTGGTTAAAAAGAAGCTTTTTTAAATTAGATGTTGTTATATCCAAACAAGAATATCTATCTTTCCAAAATGGATTATTCATGGAAAGAATCCTACTTCAAGTTTAAAACATTTGCTTCTTGGGAGCTGTTTATCAAACCATGGATTTTATTAAATAAATCCACAAATCTTGTGGCTGTGAATCTGACATTTGTGCTTTGAAACAAAACAAGCAAAAACTCTGCCATTGCACATAGAAATAAAAGGAGGGAAGGTACCAGAATATATCAGTAAGCTGGTTTAACTATTGTAAAGGAAGAAACTGATTTCCTGGGTTAGTTTCTGAGAGGAATTAACAATGAGGGCATCAGGAGAGGCTGTTAGTACTAGGAACAGCCAGCTGCCTCAGCATAAATATATATATATCTTGGCCCAACAGTCCTGTAGTCAGAATCTCCAAGGCATATATATATGATCATTCTCTGAAACTGCATTCCTTTCCACGCCCTCAAACCACCATCAAGTCACCATCTCAACTGTGAAAGGGTTACCAGACACCTTTCCAGAAAATTCCAGTTTGGTTTCCAGAAAATAAAACAGTAATAATGTCAGTGCACAACTACATTACACTTTTTTCCAACTCAAATATTTTGGGACTGAGCAATGGAGGTAGTATTGGTGCTAAAAAGAGAAAAGTTGTTCATGCTTAAATCCGCTTCTCAGTAAAATCATGAACCAGCTTTCAAAGTGTCAATGGCCTTACAAATGCTAGCACTGTTCCTGGATTTACTACCTTCTCATTAGACCCAGGGGTGACAACAACCACTGAATTCTTTAATTGCTTTCAGGTTTCCAAAAGTCCCTTTATCGTAGTAATTAATGTAGTAGAGTGTAGTTTTCTTAAAAATCACAACAAACTATTCGGGTTAAAGAAAAGGTAACAGCTGGGATTCTTACCACTGCTCAAAACCTAAGCCAGGACCTAAATACTGTATCTAACATATCTTGCTAAATAAAATCACCATGCACTTTCTCCACTGGCCACCTTGGCTGAGACCACAGGGAATTGTGATATTTTTAATCTCAATTTTAATCTAACTTCCTATTTCTCTTCTTAGTCTCCCCTGTGACAGCCCTTACATGGGAGTAGAAATGCCAGAGGCAGTATAGAATATAGCTGTCGTATTGATCTGGGATATTTGCAAAGAGGTAAGAGCTCCTCCTTCAAAAACATCCTTGGCATGCAAAGATAATTCACTAGGAACTAATATTTAAGGGGATCAAGAGGAATTTACACTAGGATATGTTGTAAGATTATACACAGCCACAGAAATATTCTGGGATATTAAATCCCAAAGAGGGACTTGTGAATTACAGTTCTACAAGAAGATGGTATTACTATAACTTCTGAAAACTTAAATCAGTTCTGAGCCTAGATTATTTCTACGTAATCACATAATTATCTGATAATATTGAAATGTAGAAGAAAGACACAATCTTTTCTCCAATTTATAAAAGTAAGTAAGAATGGAAAAAGAATTGTTAGAGAATTTCTCAGCCTCAATGAACAGGTCAAAATGTTGTTTAGTTCTCTATTATTGTCTTTTCACAAGTCTGCTAATTCTTTTTCTTTTTTTTTTTACATTTATTTTGGTATGGATTAAGTAAGGATAAACTGAGGCAACCATTACTATATCTAAGCTTTACAAGATATAAACTTTTTTTTCCTTCAGTTGTATTTTTGTAGAAAAGGCAAGAATGGGAAAAATGTGTCTAAAAATTGAGAAACACATGAAACAGAAGATCTGGGCCACGCTGGGACCCACTACTAGAGAAGACATCCAAGTGTATTTGTCATCTTGTAGGTCCAGAGATGAAGAGGACTTACCTTCACACCATCATTCTTCTTGTTGCCACCGCTTTTCCCTCCTGTGGAGAAAAGGTACCAGGTCAAGAGGCATAAGCATGATACCAGAGTTAGAACAGTGAGACTCAGCAACATGAGGAGAACTGAATAAGAGCAGGAGACAAGGGAACTGAAGACCACACAATCAGTGCTGCAGCATTCTCTGATAATAATCCAGCAGTCAGAAGGAAGTCTCTCAGAAAACCATGAAGCTTGCAAACTGGGTTACTATGATCCCTCCAATTGAACAAAACAAGCCACAGCCACTTATAGTCATGTATTCCCAAGTTTTTGAAGACGTCAAAGCAGAACCCAGCAATGTTGGTGAACCGAAGGAGCATTCTCTGTGAATTTCATTTATTCCTTCTTGAAAGGATTAGGATCTTCCCACCACGTGGTCATAACGATTTAGTCTTCTCTATGAAACCGCTCCACTTCCTAAGTTTGCTGGTCTCACTTTTTTTCTTAGATCGGTTCACAAATGGTTCAACTGTAGATAAGTGTTCTCTTGCCTGCCTGCTTTTCTCACTCTCAGGCTCTCCTGCTAATTTTAGTCCCCCATGCTGGTGTAGATCACGTGCTGTAATTATGACATCCTGACAGCTGCAGCCCACATTTTGACAATGATAAAAAACAGGCCCCTTCTTTTCTACCCCGTTCCCATTGCCATTGCAGACCTGGATTACTATATTTGGTTCATGCTGGATAGAAAGTTCATACTGTAAAGTTTTGGATTTTTTTAAAGTCTTTGTGATAAACCTGTAACATTTCCAGTATTCTCAGCCAATTAACCTTTCCATAGCTCCAGAGTTTTGTTTTGTTTTTCTTAAAAAAAAACTTGTTTCCTTAGATTGTTAAGATATCCTCTCTTATTTCTCAAGTTGTTATGATGTTTTTCTTGTGATCTTTTAAAATGTTCTTATTTCATCAAATACACATCTATTGCACAATCTTCTAAGTATATTATATTTTTCTACAGCTTGGGGTTTTTAAAAATTCTGCAATGCATGTTCCACTTGCTGAAATTCTTAACTGCTCAGGTTTAACAAATTACGTATTGTCACATGTAAATACACATGTAAATTACATGAGCTGACATTTAAAAACAATAGCCAATTATGGTTTTGCATCCAATAGTTCCCACAGTGACACATATACTGTATATAAGAATGAGGACTGTACATATTGTAATTTCCTAAGCAGAAATCTGTTTGTTTGCGGGGGGGGGGGACCTTGAAATAGCCTTCATGTCATAATGTCTGTTCATAACAATTGTTCCTTCCAAAAAGGGTATCTGTCCCAATCAATCAAGTTCTAAAAATGTTTGCTGGAACAGAGCAAATGTCTGTCTGGTTCAGCATTTTCTTACAATATGTTTCTTACAGTAATTGAGATGATTCTGGGAAGTCCAGAAGACTTAAGGATGGTAAACTGTTCAGTGGCTCTAAACCTATACTCTTGGGTACCCAGCAAAAGTATAATCCTCCATGAATTTTGCTATTTCTCTTTTAAAGTCATCATTTTATTACTCTCCAAATATAATATCAATCAAAAGATCCCCCTTATTTCTTGTGGATTCATTTTTCTTCATGTGAAATTTCAGCAAATGGAAATTGTTTTTAGAATTCAAGATTCCTTTGAAAAATCCCATAAAACTGCCTTATTTTCCTCAATGATGATTGATTTTTAAAACTTACTTCTATGCAATTCGTATGCAGGAAGGAAATGCTTTCATCCTAATACCTGTATTCTAGAAAGATATAATAATACACCATCCTGTGAGATGAAGCTTGTAAAGGAATTATTATTATTATTATTATTATTATTATTATTATTATTATTATTATTATTATTATTATTATTATTATTATTATTATTTCCTATACAAGCTTCATCTCACAGGATGGTGTATTTGGGGGCAAACCCCCTCTGATTAATAACCATGCTACCCAACATTTCCCACAGAATAGTGTAAAATGAATTTTCTATTATCTAATCTGAGCTCTTTCAAGTTCTCTCTGTTAATAAATAATGACGATGGTTTCAATGCCCTGTTGTTGAGGGATGGGAACTTCATTGATTTGTTTATCACAGCCTTTCTATCAATGTGCAAAAAAGTATTTTTGTATTTTGTCTTCACTTAATAATCCAGAGAAAATGGTCAATATCTATTTATTAATATGACACGCTAGAAGAAAGATGCTAGTGCCTGAATTCATCTCTCTGGTGTCTATCTATGTGAGTCACTATGCAAGCCAGACTTAGGTTACACCCATACACTTATTTACTACGTTCCTTCTTATCCTTGCTATCTCCACAACATGTCTCAGAAGGTTTCTGCCATCACCCCTATAGCACACATTTCTGTAGTAAAAGCTGTAATGTTGGTTTCCTTGATTGAAATTCCAGTCCTGCCCAAGCATTTCCCCCCCTTTTCATTGCCTCATTGACCCATTGGACTTATTTTTTTTTAATTCTTTAAAGTTATGGATCAACCAGTCAACTTATCAACCACTAGATGATAGGAAAAGTCATTCTGTCTAGTTAAAAAAAAATGGCATTCCAGCAGTCATCTAGATTTGCACTGCTGCTGGATCAGTTCTGGAGAGCAACTAGATTTTGAGCAAGGGCGTAAGCTGTGGGGATTGGTGTGGGAGCTGTAAACTACCCTAAGATTACAAGAGGAGATGATGTACGGAAACAAGGTTCCTGATATGGATAATAGTGACCCCTAGAAAGGGCTTTTCTTGCCAGGTAGGTTACAAAATATAAAAAGCAAATATTTTCAATTACATTTCCTGTTACTTGCTTTAAAGGTGGATCATTTTCAGGACCAGGTCCAAGACCAGGTCTCTAAGTCAACCAATGGATAAATGATTGACTCATTTAAAAAAGAAACAAGCAAGCTGGATTTCAGTCTCTCTCACAGCCTGAGGGTGGAAGACCAATCAGGAATGGGATGGAAGGTGATGGTTCCACAGGAAGGTCACAGAACCAGTTAGAGCCAGGGGCTTTCTAATGCTACATTTCTTTGTCGAGGAGATTCTGAATCATCCAGGTCATGGTTGTCTCAAAGGTGCTTTTCAAAAGGCAACTAGATTTCCTTAGGGTTGGTGTCCCCCCACCCCCTTGAAAACATTTTTCTTCTCTTCCAAGAAGCTTCTTCAGAACTGCCTTTTAGAAAGCATATTTGGGGCTCCACTTATTTCTGCTTTTCTGATAAGATTCTGAGAGGGTCAGAATGTTCTAGATTCTATTGCTCAGCCAATGTCACTTGATGGGACCCAGGATATATTCTTTCCATCACTACCTCCATCCTTTTGACCAGCATTCCTACCAAGACTCAGCTAACCCAGCTCTGTCTTGCCTTTGAAAGGCAGTAACTCAGGGGTGGGATTCTACCAGTTCGCACCTATTCGCTAGAACCAGTTGTTAACATTCTAAGCAGTTTGGAGAACTGGTTGTTAGAAGAAATTACTGGCCTAATCCTGTAAGGAAGGAAACATTCTGGTGTTGCTTACAGAAACTGCCTCTCCGTTAACCCTTAATTTTTCACACTTATGACTGTTTCAGCATCTCCACAGTCATGGGAGGCCAGGCGAGGAGATGCGTGCCTCAATCTGAGTGATATTGAGTTGGCCACACCCAGCCAATAACATGACCACCAAGCCATGCCCACCACCTAAGCTATGCCCACAGAACTGGTTATTAAAAAATTTGAATCCCACCCCTGCAGTAACTTTAATTCTTTCCTCAGGCATTGGATCACAGAGTGACATGATCCCATGGGATTAATCTGTCCAAGCACCTTATGGCCAAATGTTTTTGTGTTTTATTTGTATTATTTGTTTTCTGTGATTGTTTTATATACAATATATTGTATATATTGCTGTTTATTGATGATGTATGGTGCTCTGAGTCATATGCTAAGGGAATGGCTATATAAATCAAATAATTAAAATGGAATAAGTCATTTTATAGGCCACTTTTTCTATGGCATCAACATAGCCAAGTTTGCCTACACACAACCCATGGAGATGGGATAAGAGGGAAGGAACTACTCTCAGAATGGAACACTTAAAGCTATCCCTGGTCTGCCTCAGCTGCGATTGGATGACGAGACACAGGCAATGGTATGCAGATATGTCCTTTGGAAATGATTAGTTGATGTTCCTCAAGCTATGTTGATGAGCTGTTAATCCAAGGGAGTTTACATTTATCACACTCTGAATTGGGGCCTGAGCTATAATTAATTACAGTGGCTTTTCAGCTTTAAGTGAAGAAAAGCGTATGTGGGTGGGTTATTGAAGGAAAAATTATTCGTATTGTTTAGGAATACTAGACTGCATCTTTCTTTCACAAAACTATAAGGAATTAATCTTAGGAAGCCAACATTTTCAGTATTTACCTCCTGCAGAGCTACAGAAAGTGCAGATTGTATTAAATGTCCTCATGGATTCTTCTGCCAAAGAAACTCTTTCTTACTTCCATGTTCAAATGGGAACTTTTAGGGGTATTTTTAAAATACAGTAAGGGAAATATGTGATCAGAGCATTTCTCAGTTTGGTGGTACATTTAAGTCACAGTCCAAGAATATACATACTGTAACATAAGATCTTCAGACCTTTCTCCTCAGGTCACCACTATCAGGTATGGGTTACAACATAAATTTAATTTTTCCCTCCTTTCTTTGTATTAACATTTGAACAAACATAGGGGGAAAAAAGTCATTTGGGAATCACATGAAAATGTCCAGACCTGCTTGTGGAAGTCTTAGTGCAGCAGCCAGCCATATTTTCTAACCAAAGTTAGTAGCCAATAAGTGATGAGGTAGCAAGTAAATAGAGTTGGGTTACCTACCAGAAAAATTACGGGTTGCTAGCATTGTAGTGAGGATTGCACCCTGGAACACACAAAAGACAGAAAGAAAAACAAGGGAAACAGGTTCAAAATTAGGACTATTCCCCCTCCCCCCCAATATCTCCTTTTTCTTAAAAACATCCCGTGAAAAATAGAGCTGGCTGAACTGCAAGGGGAATGTACCTTTGGCCCTGTTTCAGGGCAGGATGAATATAGTTCAGGAAAGATATTAATAGAAACAGCAAACAGTTTGCAGAATTCAAGTCACAGGGTATTAGCTGAGGGATTTTTAACTGCAAGCTTCCAAATGGTGGACACAGAGTTTATTATAGCCATGGTATATAGAGATTAAAAGCTTTCCTTCCAATGTTAATGAAACTCCATTCTCCACTGAACAAGCAATGCTTGATGGGACCAGATTAACTGATAAATGTCTTGCTGTATTAAAGAGGATTTTCTACAGTATCCCAAGTGTAATCACAAATATGCCATTTATTTTTGAGACATTCAACAGATTAAAGCTCTTCTGATGCATCAGTCATTTGCCTCAGGTCATAGAACAGAAGAAATTTTCCTAACGGACAATCAATCCCTCTCCCTTCCATATTTGCAAGATTGTACTATAATGCCCCAAACTCATTCCACTTTTGGCATTAAAACAAATGCATTTGGGCAGGCTGACAAAGACTCATCTGTAGCATACATTTCTCCTCTATTTCAATTTAGTAGCTCTAAATAAAAGCTACCACAATTACCACTACTATACTATTACTTCACAGAGCTCTCAAGCATATTGTCCCATAGATCAGTCTCATCACATCCATTTGATAGGGGGGAAGACTTCAATGCATTACTGAAGTAACATATCCAGAGCCATTCTCTGTAAGTCAATAAAATAATTTATTATACACCTGATTTGCCATAGCCCAACATTATAGTTTCAGGTCACTTACTTCCTGTTAGCAGGAAGTGTCCATTTTTAATAGGAAAAGGAAACATTCCACATATGTTTGATGGAGAATTCTGAGCAATTGGTTTAGCATTTACAGAAAAAAGCAAGATATACTTGCACTGAATAAAAACTGAGTTAGCATAAGAATGTAACATCTACATCTCTGTTATTCTAACTATGGATAGTTTTGAAATTGTCCATCAAAATATAATTTTGGGGCATAGGATAAAAAGGTCAAATGGATCTGTGTATTTACGGCTTATTGATTGTCTGCCTCTCTCCTCTGTTGAGCATTTCTTTTAATTTCATATGATTATATTTTCATTGTTTATTTTATTGTTTTATTATTTTGTTACTGTTTACACTTCTTGTTATTTCTGTGTTTTTACTGTTATAAGCCACATAGAGTAGCCCCACAGCGAGATAGGCTGCAAATGAATTTCACAAATAATAATAATCCAGTGACATATCTCTAATACCATAAAACCTGAACTGTCTCAAGTCCTTGGGAAGGACTCAATAGGTGGATAAAAATGCCAAATCCAGTCTGACTGTATGACAGTCCACAATTTCTCAATATTTCAATCAAGTGTATGAGCTGGTGAGAAATTACATTAATGGAATCAACAGATTTCTGTATAAAAAGCCAACACAGATCATAATCTATTACTTAGCCAGTAATTTTGTTAGTGTTCAGCCCAAAAGGAAAGAAATCTGCAAAAGTTCATAGAATCTATGTGTAGAGATAATCTTAGAAAACATTGAATCTAGAAACTGATAATGATATTACTGCTAAGTCTCCTAACTGAACCTTTTCCTATCCACAGTAGCATACAGCTGAGTGAAAAGTGGTCTAAAAATGGCAAAGACACACCTTTGAAGAATGCAATTTATTTGAATTCCACTGATATTGGTTTTCAGAAATCTCTCAAGAAGCTATCATATTTACTTTTAAGACTTTAATAAAAAGTTTCAGGTCAAGGGGGTTATTGTAAATACATAAAATATTTCTATGGTCTTTTTAGAGTTTCCAACAGAAAGGGAGGGGGAGCAGTGCAGCCGCTTGCAAACCGAAACTGCATTCCATAAATGTTTTCAACGATAGTAACTAGGTAACCAAAGTTTCTGCCTCACAAAATTCTAACTGGAGAGCATGATTTATGACTCTTGGCTATGGATGCGTCCCATTGGAGAATATGAATTATGATACACCCCGGGGGGAGGGGGAAATCAGGGTCAAGGGTGACAATGAATTGTGTATCTCAGAGTCGGCTACACCCAGGCAATGCTGGACAGTTTAATTCCCAATAAATCCTTTTTAAGTTTTGGAAGTTTGGCTCGAGTCTCATGATTTAAATGGGGGGAACTTCTGGAATCCTGACAGTTATTTCCTTACTAGTGATCTAAAGCAGTTTAATAACACCATTCAGGCATTGTTGATGTAATATAAAGTCTGCCCTCCTTCTTTTAGCAAAACAATGGTCTAGAAAACTTTTAAATCTCTATCAGATTTTCACCCAGTGGGTAAATGACCAAATGTTAGCTTTTCAAATTCAGATGAACAAGATCACTTGGGGAAGAACTTTTGAAAGAACCAGAGTGAAACTCATAATGATGTTTCTGTCTCAACTCATGTCCGTGGTATCAATACTGTCTGTCTACACATGGAACAGATCTACGTCATGTATAGAAACTAATTTAGTTGTAGAAACAGAAATATAGTCCAGTCTAAAACCCTTCTTTTGTCCTTCTTTTCATCTTTGGTGATTTGTGTGTGTGTGTGTGTGTGTGTGTGTGTGTGTGTGTGAAGAATGTGAGCACAAGTGATGAGAAAATATAGAAAAATTACCATTACAGGTGACATCATCTGGATCTGCAGAATATAAATAAATAGAGATCTGCAAGAAACCTAGTCTGGAGCCAGGTCTTGAAAGATGTGGAACATGAACATGGGAAACAAATGAAGGGGGGAAACTTCAATTAAGTAAACAAGGAAGCACCAAGTCCCATAATTACCTTTAGCTTTCTTCTGGCATTGAATTTCTTCAAGCAATCCACAGTCTCCTGTCTGTGCATGCAAGAAGCCACAGTGGAACGGTGCTAAAAGACATAAAGAAAGCATGCTTAGCAATGGAAATGAATACAAAACCCGTCTTTCTTTTAGAAACTTGAATTTGTATTAGAAGCTGTGCTTCCTTGTGTGCTTGTAAATATGATATGTGAAACAGGATTGCCTTCCATTCTTCAGTTCCACACTGTTGTTGTAAGCTGAAAGCCATTACAAGCTGGCTTTTCTGCAGAGACTAAAATATATTGGTGATATGAAGAAGGCGGTGATTAAGTATTGAAAGCAGTGGTGGGATTCAAATTTATTTTACTACTGGTTCTGTGGGTATGGCTTGGTGGGCGTGGCAGGGGAAGGATACTGTAAAATCTCCAGTCAGAGGTGGGATTTGCCGGTTCTCCGAATTATTCAAAATTTCCTCTACCAGTTCTCCAGGACTGGTCAGAACCTGCTGAATACAACCTCTGATTGAAAGACATCCATACACCCTCCTGTGACTCTACTAGGATAACCTGTTGCAGAATGCTGCTCCACATTAATGTTGCAAAAAGATTTGACATTTAACCCAATTAGATTTTGTGGTGTTTTTTTTTATAAAAAAGGAGGAATGGAGTATCATCTTACTGATCTCATGTGCTTGTCATAATTTTCTGCATAGTTTTGCATATTCTCTACTAGGTAGGCATAATTTTTCCTCCCAACTTTAACATTTGGAGTTTGCTACTTTTTGTGGTCAAGAGCCATACTTGTTCCTTCAGCAATTTGCTTTAAGAAATTAATTTTAAATTAAATTAAAATTGCACTCAACATGACCATTACTTCTTCTGCATTTAAAAAGTTCTGCTTCTTCTTAAGCACTACAATGTTTGCTTATTCAGTTTGAACCCTGTGTCAGTTTCCAAAGACTCTGGGCAGCTCAGTGAGCAACTTTCTCAGGAATTCAAAAGGAAACTTGAAAGGTTTTGGAGGGCTCAAATGAAAGGATTTAGAAGGCCCTTTAAAATGGGGGAGCACTGTCGCCCGGAGATTGTTATCAAAATCCAAGCAGGTACTAAGAAAAGTATGATTCACTTTGCACTTACTGATATCCAAGGATGCTTCAGAGCTTCTGCTGCTGTGATACGTTTGGATGGGTTGATTGTTAACATTTTATTGATGAGGTCTTTTGCTTCAGGAGTAACGGTATCCCACTCAGGAGAAGGAAACTGCAAGTACAAGAAGATAAAACTCCCCATTCTCTCTTCTGCAGGTGAGAAGTAAGACACAATATATTTCTCTGAGACAGTAATTGTACCAGAAGCCCAAAATGATTTGCAGTCCAGGTATTAAGTACGTATTCTGTAGACACACATTGTCAAAGAAAAAAAAAAGCCTAGATGTATGTATTTTTTTCTTAATTAGCTTTGTGTTTTTGTTATTCTTTCTTTTTTGTCATTATTTTAAAAGCAATAAAAACAAATTAGAAGTTTGTTATGTATGAGTTTTTACTTGGTATGTTGCTGACTAAGGGGAAATAAGTACAACTGTTAAATGCAGTAGAAAAATATTTATTTATTTATTTATAATTTCTTATTTCTTACCTGCCCATCTCCATTTCACCCATTCACCCATTTCAAGATGAGCTGGAAGGGTCTTTTTAAAAAAAAAACTAATAAAGGTATTAGGCCGGTCAACATTGCAGAGAATGCATTCCAAGGAGCTGAGGTTTAATCATGGATTATTGCAGAAGGGACCATAGGAATTATAGGCAAACATTTTTACAAGCTCTCAGGAAATATGGAAGTTCAATCAGGAAACTATAGCCTAGAACTAAATCATGTAAAGCTTTGAAGGTAACCTATGTGTGTGTTAGTGTGTATGCATGCATGCTTTCAAGTCAGTTTTTTAATCCTGGTGACTGCCTGGACAAGTTTGTGCAGTATGTTCCAGACTATACAGAAATAACAGATCCATACAGAGGGTGTTACTCTATTTAAATCTAGTGATTATCAAGCTGGCCAGTATTACTCTAAGGTCACTATCTTCAGAAAGACAAACATGGTTGGTCCCTGGAGCTCATCAAAGGCATATTTGACCTTGCTTTAATCTTGAAAATCAGATGTGATTCAGGTCTAGAATAGGGACCTCGAGCTCTTCTCTCTGGTCTGGGTCCAGTTTCAAAAAATTATCCCTCATTCAACCCATTACTGCAAGAAGGCATTCATGACAGCCATGCCATCTCCTAAAGACATCAAGAAGAAAGAGTATCATCAACATACTATAGCAGGGGTCTTCAAACTTGACCGCTTTAAGATTTGTGGACTTCAACTCCCCGAATTCCTCCTCCAGTCATGTTAGCTCAGGAATTTTGGGAGTTGAAGTCCACAAGTCTTAAACTTGTCAAATTTGGATACCATATCACAGCTTCAATTTTGAGGATGCAGCATTATCTGAAATCTATCTGAGAGAGATAGCAAGAGGTCCACTGAACAATTGTGCTTCCTATTCCCAAATTTCTCAGATGATCTAGAGCAGTGATCCCCAACCTTTTTTATGCCGCGGCCCGGTACCGGCATCAGCTGGGCGCCGCCATCTTTTTTTGATGAAAAAGTGCTTCCGGTGAGCTTTCTACCCGGAAAAGCTCACCGGAAGCACTTTTTCATCAAAACAAGATGGCGGCGCCCAGCAAACCAGTGGCCCAGTAGGACTTGTTCCGCGGACCGGTGGTTGGGGACCCCTGATCTAGAGGATATCAAGACCCAATGAGATGTCAATGAGAACCAATGGAGTTATGCTCCATCTATCTATCCTTAGATAAAAATCATCAGCAGGCAGACCAAAGTTACTGAAGCCCTCCATCAAAGCAGCTTGAAATGGGACAAGATAATTTATGGAGATTCTCTATCATCCAGGTCATGGTTGTCCCAAAGGTATTTTTCAAAAAGCAACTGGACTTTCTTATTTATTTTTTCCTTAAAAATGTTTCAATTCTCATCCAAGAAGCTTCTTCACTTCTGATTGAACGGTGGGGAATGGAAAGATTTATATTCTTTGCAGTCATCTGGTTGTTAGCACTCTGAGTGTCAGTCATTAGCTCTCTGAGAGTCATTGAGGCTACTTGGTCGTTTATATGTACCCTCAGGGTCACCTGAATCAGAGTGCAAATGGGTGTGGAACCTTCTTGGGACTGTTGAAAGGATTGTGTTGTAGACAGGAGATAGGTGGTGTTGTATCCTTCCCCTCTGTTGAAAGAGGAAGAGGACTGCTCAATTTTAACCTAAATGGCCACTCTTCAAAAGGTCATTATTTTGAAGACAGCAAAGTCGACATTCTGGACCGAGAGGACCACTGGTTTGAAAGAGGGGTCAAAGAAGTCATTATATCAACCTAAATTCTCTCCCTATAAAGAAAGAAAACTCCCCACAGATATTGACCTCACCCGTTTCCTAAGAGGTCTGTAGGGGGCGTGCATAAGCGCACCAACGTGCCTACTGTCCCTGTCCTATTGTTTCTCTTATTCTTCTTTTATTTTTCTTATATGTACCCATTTCATGTATTCACAACTATGTATACACTTATACTTATTATCTTGTAAACAATTGGCAAATCAAATAAATAAATAAATAAAATAAATAAATGTTTGACACAGAGCTGCCACAGGAAGGAAAAATCACCCCATCTCACAAAGAGAGATCATGCTCCAGCAGGTGCTCCGTTGTTCCTAAACTCTCCTTGTTGCTATTCCTTCTATACTATAATCTCATGTGTGCCCTTTTATTGATACAATAAAAACAGACACTTTTATTTTTCAATTGTTTTGTAATTGTTTTACTCATATTATAGCTATTTAAATTGGCATATATATAGGCCAATTTCTTTAGCTTTCTTCATGACAACTTCACAATATAAAATAGTCTGAAAGGAAGATTAATTTGAAAGTTATGATTTCCAAATCCTGTTGAATTACAGCTTTCAGTATTTTTCTACATTGTTCATATTTGCTAGAACTAAATAAAACTGATGTTCAACAGCAGTTCAGAATCGTGGTTTATCAGTCCCAAATACCCAAGTGTGGATGTAAACATAGTCTCACCCCTAGTCCAATGTATTAATTGCAACCTTAGATTTATATTTAAATTGGTTTTCAATATAGTGGTACGTAAATAAAGCAAGTGAGAAAATTTAGTCAACAAAAATTAAGGTGGGTGAGAAGAAAAGAATATGAAAGGGAAGTTCGCTTACATCATAGGCTCCAGCTTTGATCTGCTGATATAATCGGTGTTGATCCTCATCCCAGAAAGGAGGGTAGCCAACCAGTAGAATATAGAGAATAACTCCTGTGTGTTCAGAGGGAACATCGTTACATAAGCTAGTGGAAAGGAATTGATTGACACAGGAGATCTGAATTGGCCTACACAGTGAGCAAGACAAGAAAGGAGATGAGTCAAGAGTTAAGTATCTTCCTATACTGCCAACATCATCCCGATGTTGTATAAAATGGTTATGTCTCAACTGAAATGTCAAGGATTCAGGATAAGTGTCAGCTCTTTGCAGTTCAGTCTGAATCATCAGTATCATAATTTGCCTGAAAACAAAGACCCGCAATTCTTCATGAAAATGTGTAAAAATATCTCTAGGATTGGCTTTTCACTGAATGATAGCAGTGACTGCATTTACCTACCTAGTGGAAGGAATAGTCAGATATAATTCTACAAATAGATACAGGCAGTCCTTGACTTATGACCACAACTGGGACCAGAATTTCCAATGCTAAGCAAGGTGACTGCACCTGATTTTACTACCTTTTTTTTACCATGTTGTTAAACGAATCATTGCTCTTGCTAAGTGGATCACATGATTAAGTGAATGGTTTCACCCATGGACTTTACTTGTTGAAAGCCAGCCAAAAAGGTCGCAAATGGCGATTCCATGACCCAGCCATAAATACATGCAGTCCCCAAGTGCCCAAATTTTGATCATGTGACTGTGGGGAATACCGCAATGGTTGAAGTGTGAGGACTGATTGTAAGTCCCTTTTTCAGTGTCATTCTAATTTTGAATGGCCACTAAACAAATGATTGCAAGTTGAAGGATGACCTGTAGCAGGTTTACTAAACAGCCCAGGCTTCAGGAGACTAGTCTTCTCTTAGTGATTGGCTAAAAAGTCAGAAAGCTTTGACAGTCACTTTCTATATGATCACATTTTCTCCCAATACCCCATCAATGGAGAATTCAAAGAATGTTTTAAAGTCCTTCAGCTTTAAGCATGTAGACCCCATTGTCTGAGGCAAAACTGAGCCAAACTTTTGAAAGGAATGATCTTCTGACAGTGATCTTTATTTTTGTGTAATAAGTAACTAAGTGGGGTTGGATATCAGTCGAGGACAAAAAAATTAAAACATTTCATAATTTTTCATTTTTCCAGTCATTAGAATTCTTTATTGGCCTAGTGTGATTGGACACACATGGAATTTGTCTCTGGTGCATAAGCTCTCAATGTACATGCAAGCAATAAGTGATAAATCATGATCATATGCATAAAATGCAATCATCATCAATCATAAGATACAAACTCAGTAAATAAGCAAACAATATAAATCATAATAGGATACTAAATAAAGGAAATCAACATAATTCATGAGATACAAACAACAACATTATAGTTCATAAGAAGCTAAGGAAATAGCAATAGAAAAGATGAGAAGATAAAAAGGATAATCAACTTGTCATTTTTTTAAAAAAAACTGCAGCATGAAAGCACTTAAATATTTTTATTATGAATGGCATTTTAAAAAATTGTTAAATTACAAATGGGATGACTTTTGTTCCTAACATCTATCAGAATGGGGTGGGGGGATAACAAGGAACAATTCTCTGTTTACTAAGATTTATTAGGAATAAGGTTGCAGTAAAAACATCAGATTTTTGGCAAACAAGTTTGCTTTTAGATGTAGAATCTATTTATAGGCAATTTAAACCACTGGATTCTGGCTTCCTTCGTTGCTTCCTTTCAGCGTAACAGGAAGGAGGGCAATCCAGTCTGCCCTTATAATTTGTTTACACAATGGCTACATTAGGAATCTGAGTATTTCCTCAACTAAGTTGTTTTGCTCCATTATGGAAATAGGGCTGCTGGAATAAATGATTTGATTTTGTCAAGGATTTATTATAATAAGTCAATCCTAGGAATCAGGAATAGTCACTCCCTGTACTGGAGAAAGCGAGCCTTAATGGTCTAGTGAAGCATTAATAATGGTCTTCATCCAATATTTTAAAAGGGATATGTGGGAGATCTAGAAAATTACAGCCCAGGCAGTTTAACATATTCCAGGCAAATTGGAAGAAACTATAATCAAACCAAAAACAAACTAAGCTCACAGAGAGATAAGGCTTGCTGAAGGAAAACCAGCATGGATTCTGAAGAGGGGAATCTGTCTCATGAATCATTTAGAGTCTTTTGCAAGGGCCAGCAGGCCATGGATGGTGAGATCCTGTCAATATTGTACATCTAGATTTTCACAAGGCCTTGGCAACATCCTTCATAAAAGGTTCTTGAGTATCCTTATCTCTTATGGGATTAGATGATCTTCCTAGTATTTTTCATTAATGATGAGAAACCAAAGCTTAGGAACACATGGGCATTACTTTTAAAGGAGAGACGTTCTTCAAGGTTGAGTGTTGGGACCAGGGGTTTTTATTTTGTCCATACATTATTTTCATTTAGAAGATAGCACTCAGTTGGAGAAGTTTGCATACATCATCAAACTATTCTGATGCATGTTGGAGAGCAAAACTCTTAATGCTTTACTTAAACTGATAACATCTGTACTGTCTATAACTAATCAGAGGGCCTTACTTAATGATGATCATTGGGACAAGGATTTCTGTCATTAAACAATGTGATCCTAAAGTGCACCATCACAGCCAACTGTGTGAGTATGGCCAAGCAGGAGTGTACTATGGCCTGGCTGGATGGGCACACGTGTGTTATGGAGAGTGGGCAGGGAATGTGTTGTGGGCGGGCGCATGATGCAGAATCAGCAAAAAAATGATTAACAACTCAAAGGAGGGACTTGCATGCTCATATCTTTCTCATAGGATTTCCTTTTATATTAATGGTGATATGGACTCTAGCTTTCCCAAATTAATGCCCTCCAATCTATCTAATTTCAAATGCTCATCCCCCCCCCCCCAAAGTGATTTCTGAACACATATAGAGCACACCAATTGGGGAAGGCATTCCACTAAATATTTTCATAAATAGCCAATCCCATGGACAAAAACCTGGTAGTAGATCCCATGGGACCCTAAGTCAGGGATCCCCAACCCCTGTTTCGTGGACCAGCACTGCTCCGCAGCATGCCAGAAACTGGGACTCAAACAAATGAAGCCCCATCCAAAGGATGGAGGCAGCACATGAAACCACGCCTCCTTTGATCCGTGAAAAAGCCTCTCTCCACGGAACTGATCCCTGGTACCCAAAGGTTTGGGGGCTGCTGCCCTAAGTTACTGTCTTCAGCATCCTTTGAAATACAGTCTCACTTACCACATGCCCAAAGGTCAACAGCTTTGCCATAGGGATCCTTCCGGAGCACTTCAGGAGAAAGGTAACCTGGAGTGCCTGCAAAACCTGTTAATTGTCAAAATAGATTGCAAATTACACTACTTGCCCCCAGGAGAATCTACAACTTTTCATTTAGAAAAAAATCTCAGTCTTGGGATTTCTTATTACATGACAAATATTAAGAGCTGAAATAGCAGGGATAATTGTCATCTCCCGAGCCTCGTGTTCTATTATGACGCAGATGCTATGGGAGTTGTTCTTCTAACTTCTACTCTATTTGGATCTGATTTTATTGCTCCTGCTACTCCCAAATGCTTCTCAAACAGCCCAATTTTTCTCTCCCCTAAAGCTGAGACTGCAAGCAATCTATTTCCCCACTGGAGGGAACTCCACCTCCTGGTTTTGAGTTCACCCTATAAGTCCTGTACTGGGAATGCTGGCTTGATTGCTTCCTACCTCTTGCTCGGTGACACATGAAAATGACAATGTTTTGTTAGCCTGCAAACAAAAACATCAGGCAGATCTTGGTCTTGCTTTCTTTGCTTTCTTCCCCTTTGGAATGGGAGGATATTTATTGCTTTGGCTGTCAAGCAATGATTTCACTCTTGATTTTCACAGCTGCAAGTCTCATAGATTGGAAGAAGATCACTAATCATCCTCCAATTGTTTTGAGGGATTATGAAGGACAGGCAACGGCCAACTGAAAGCGCCTTGCACCCCACTGCTGGCCCAGCTAGGCAAGCGCTATCAGATCAAACCAACTACAGCTCTGTGAAGTCTCAAAGTAATCATCTTTTCCAGCCTTGTTATTCAAGATCCTTCTGGGACTTTTTTTGTTGGAGAAGCATATGCTGCACTAGTGTATTGATGGCTTAGAAATTATAAAGGTATTCCCTTAACAGCCTATGTCTACAGCTCAAAGATACAATAGCAACAGACAATAGGATGACCTTATCAGCTTGCAGTTAATGGTGATATGGACTCTAGCTTTCCCAAATTAATGCCCTCCAATCTATCTAATTTCAAATGCAGTTATTATGACTTAATTAAACTCCAGCTAGTACTCCCAATTTATGTATTACAGGTAAATACATACTTTCTCTCAACTGGAATGGCAGCTGGCTTTAATATTATATAATATTATACATACTGACACAGAAAGACATATCTAAATAAATGCCACCGGGGAAGTAATATGACCACAGTCAATATATTAGTTTCTACAATCCCTTTAAATTAGGACACTTTACTTAGTCTAAATCAAGGTGGTTGTCTTTTTTCAAAACAGAAACTCCATACTTTTAGAATACAGACTATTTCAGCAATATGCGATTCTCCTACATCTGACATATTGTCTCCAAAAGTGTAATCCCTTAGCTTGACTTGGCAGAAGATAGCAATAGCACTTAGATTTATATACCGCTTTAGGGTGCTTTCCAGCCCTCTCTAAGCAGTTTTACAGAGTCAGCATATTGCCCAAACAATCTGGGTCCTCGTTTTACCCACCTCGGAAGGATGGAAGGCTGAGGCAACCTTGAGCCTGGTGGGATTTGAACTGCCAAATTGCAGGCAGCTGATAGGAGAAGTGGCCTGCAGTACAGCACTCTAAGCACTGTGCCACCAAGATGCTTAGGAATGACCTGGCCAGAACAAAGCTTTAAACACAGCAGCTGACTGACCCTCTCAGAACAGAGAATACAGAATTTGTACACATATACAGTATACATGAGTATTGAAACTGTTGGATTCTTTCTCCTCACTTTTCAAATTAATAGATACTTGATGGTTTACTTGGTGGCATTGGGTGGCTGAGATATGGCTCTTCTCATACTGGGAGGCATTGATTCCTGACTTGCTGGCTTCAGCCTTATACCAGCTTTCTTTCTTTCTTTTTAAATATAATTTTAGTGAAAGTTTTAACAAATATGAATAAACATGAATAAAAACTAAAATAAAGTAAGAAGGAAAAAATATACAACAACCAGAGGAAAGTATTAATCTATCATTTTTAGTGGGTGCCAACTGCTGTAGAAAAATACCAATTCAGAATTAATGCCTTGCTTCATTTTACTGATAGAGTAAAATGTATTTTGCCCAATTACATACATACACACCAGTGGTGGGATTCAATTTTTTTACTACCAGTTCTGTGGGCGTGGCTTGGTAGGCGTGACAGGGGAAGGATACTGTAAAATCTCTAGTCAGAGGCGGTATTTGCCGATTCTGCGAACTTCTCAAAATTTCCGCTACCGGTTCTCCAGAACTAGTCAGAACCTGCTGAATAGCACCTCTGATACACACACACATTGGAATCTCTGTAAGCCCAGTGTTTTCCTACTCACCAAACCAGGCCTGCTGTTCTCCTTCCACTTCTATAGCAAGACCAAAGTCAGCTAGTTTAACAGCAGCTCCCTTCAGTTTGGAGGCCAGCAAGAGGTTCTCTGGCTTTAAGAGGAAAAAGAGAGAGAAGGGAACAATAAAAATGCAAAGAAAAAAAGGTCCCAATTTTTTCTTGTGACTGAGATGCCAAAGTGTTATAAGCAGAACACTAAACTTGGCATGTTTTTACATCTCTAAGAATACAATCTTAGAGAATCTATATTTCTGGGAAATGTGGAGATAGCAATAAAATTATTTTTTAATAGGAAGGATAATGAACAAAAACAATGCAAAAATGTTTAAAAAGATGAAGAGACTGTGGATGAGAAACAATGTATAGAAAGATTGATTGCTGCAAAAAAAGAGGTTGAACTAGTGCCATATAATGTGTTAAGACAGAAAAAGGATAGCTGCAAATGAGAGACAAGAAATTAAGATTAAAAGTGGCAGAGAAAATGCAGTATCTTAAAGAATAAAAATTGGTTAAGAAAAAACGATGCAAATGGAATTCAGAATAAAAGTGAGAAATGCTTTGAGGTGAAACTGAAGTGAGAGAATATCAAAAGAAAGACTGTAAAGGCTTGTATGGGAATAATGATATATCAAAATAACATTGAAGTGGATACTGTTATCTTAGATTATTGCAATATTGGGCTGACAGTGAGTTGACCAGAAGCTACAGCTGATAACAGAATGTAGTTGCAAATTTACTGGCCACCAATGCTAATTGGTTCAATAGAACCATACTGTCATGCCCCTGTCAGAGTCTGAATCTGAGGAGGAAGCCGAACGGCTGACAGGGAAAGGGAGTGTGGCTCCGTTGGCTGTGGAGGAGGCTGGGGAAGGGCAAAGTCCGGCTAGGCAGAGCAGGAGAGAAATAGAACAAGGGAGAGGAAGATCCAGGCCCACACTCTCTTCATCCTAGGGCACAGAGGGAGGAACAGAGAAGAGAGCAATGTGGGTTGTGTGGCTTACAGGGGATGAAAGTTCCTGATTCCCTTCATTAGCCACAGCTGGGAAGACAGTTTATGAGAAATTCAGGCTGCATGTAGCAGGCTTCTGGGAGCAAACGTGACTTTATCTTGTGTTGTCGTTGCTTATCTGTGTTCCCATGTGAGTTTTGCTATGCCTTCAAGTCTGGAATTCTTGCTGCTGCCCTGCCAAACTAATTACCTCAGTTTGGCTTGACTGGACTTAAAGTTACAGTTTGTGTTGACCATGTTTTGGACTTAATTCTCTGCAGTCAAAGGCTGTTCCTGGGAGAATTTTTCTCCAGCCAGAAGGTAACCTGGACATTGGGGGCAAAGTTGGAGATAATAAAGGAACTCTTATTGATTATCTGACTGTGTTTCCTTTGTGCCACGCCCTGGGCCATCACACATACTCCCCCCTGGCAGAAGTTGCATTAGTTGCCAGTAAACTTCCAAGCTGCCTAGGAAAACCAAGGAAAATCATCAAAACCATAAAAAAGCAAAAGTTAGAATATTTTGGACTTGTGATGCGACACCCGGAAAAATATGGCATACTTCACTTAATTCTTCAAGCAAATGAGGTCCAGGCTGAAGAAGAATGCAATGGCTTCAAAGTCTAAGGAACTGGTTTGGACAAAACTCAGCAGCACTTTTTCGTGCAGCTGTTGATAAAAATGGGATTGCCAACATGATCGCCAATGTCTGATGACAGATATGGCACAAGAAGAAGAAGAAGAAAGCTTCCAAGCCCAATTCAAGGTGCTGATTGTTATCTGTAGTGTACTTTAAATCTTAAATCCTCATTTCCTTTGGACAATCTACTTCAGGGGGAATCTGCCTGTCTCATACAGTCTACTTGGAGAGAGCACTGTAGCAGTGGTGGGTTTTTTTTACTACCGGTTCTGTGGGCTGGCTTGGTGGGTGTGGCAGGAGAAGAATGCTGTAAAATCTCCAGTCAGGGATGGTATTGGCCAGTTCTCCAAACTACTCAAAATTTCCGCTACCAGTTCTCCAGGACTGGTCAGAACCTGCTGAATACCATCTCTGCACTGTAGGTCTATGCAATGTCTTTTCCAGTAACAGCCTCCTCATTATTGAAAATGTTGCCCTCCTTAAGTCAGAATGACCTCCACCTTTTTAAACACTCAAATTTTCACAGAACCTTTAGAATGGAAAAAATCTTTCAACAGTAAGCAATTGCATAATGTTGTTTGCTTGTTTATTACCCACTGCAGTCCAGAGATTCCTGGTAGCTTATGTGAAGTGTAAAGCCAAACAAAATATCAATCTAATTATAAAACAATTAAAGAACTGGAGTCACACAGAAAGCTATAAGTGATAAAAATAGAAAATGAAAATGGCTTGCTAAAATCAAGAGAAGACTCTCCGGAACAACTTGGACCTTACAAGCTTTTGAAATGTTAGCAAAAGAGGGGACTGGGCTTTTCTCAAAAGGAGGCTGTTCTATAGTGTTGGTGCTGCCTTTAAAGAACAACATCTCCTCAGTTGAATTTCCTGAAAATGTGGAATCGGTAACAGTTCCTCTCTGTTTGATTGAATTGGTTGGGCTGTTATGGGTATGAGTAGGTGGTCCTGCAGATATATCCAGGTGCCAGGCCATAACAGCTTAAATCAGCAGGTTATGTTGCACATTAACAAGAGGAGATTTTTATTTCATAGAGGACACTTTCACACTAGGTTTTGTGAAGGAAGTTTAACCAGAAGAATGCTTTTAAGTTCTTTCAATTTTACAATGTATAAATATTTTACCTTTAAATCCCGATGCACCACACCCATCTGATGACAATGCAAGACAGCTTCCAGGATCTGCTGAATACAATGGCTAGGAAGAAGAAACATTGTCATACAACATTATGTCATATTCCTCGTTATGGGTAATGGCCATAGATAATGTTTCTCAGTGGTCTCCATTTCATGCTTCACTCCTCCTCTCATTTTCTATCTTCCTATGTGTTTTTCTGCTGAGAGCCGAGCAGAACAAGCTTTCATTACAATCTTAGCTTATTTAACAAAGAGAAATCTGACTGTGTAATGAAAACCCATCAGGGAATCTTTAGAGTTACTAAGGTTCCTTTTGGTGAGAAACAAACAAAAAGAACTTAGAAATTTCTTTATGCAGTGATAGCAAAAACAACCTGACCAATTTCTCATGTAAATGATTATTTTAGATGACATGACCATCCCAATAGGGTTACCATTACTGGGCTACAAAACTCCAGATAACAATCAGATAGTAGCAAGGAGGCTCCGCTATTTGGCTCATTAACATTTGGCAGTTCTGATATGGTAGCTGTAGACACAGGTGGCAGAACAGACAGAAGAGCCACCTGTAAAATGAAATGACTCCATTCACAGATGCTAAAATGCAATTGGATTTGAATTTCAAGCCTGCAGCAAATTTGTATGCATTAAATTGGGTATCTTTTGAATCTTTTGCAAGGCAATCTCATGGCTTATCTTCTCTGCGTTAGATACAGAGCTCACCTTGAATTTGCTTTACAAATAGGAAGAAACATGTATCTCACAAAGGCCCAATACCCACCTATGTCAGTATTACATTGAATTTTAAATAATCAAATTTAAATTGGAAATTCAGATACAATTTAAGTACCATAAAAATGAACTGAACTTAAAAGAAAAGGTAATTCATTATTTGTGAGATTGAAAGGCATACCTTATTCTTGATTAATCTAAAATCAAAGGGAGCAAACCTTTGGCTTAGAGAATTTTCCTTTTTCAAGGAAAGGCTGAAGACCACCAATCTCAGTTGCAATTTAGCTACAATGGGTTCATGAATTGTGCCAAGCATCATATAGCTTCGTTGAGTTCAGTTTAGCATGTTATGTAAACCTGATCTATTTTTGTATAAATCATACTTTATAATGAATATGCTGTGTGAACTCATTTAATAAACCAAAGTACAGCACGATGTGTGATCCCCTGTATAATCTTGACCAGAAAATAATGCTAATCGCCTACAACTATCTGAATCCCCATTAAGCCTTCACCACCTGTGTTTAAAAACAATATTTTTTCTCTCGTTTCAGTGAAATCAAAGCTTGGAAATATACAGCATCACAGATATCTGCTATAATAAGAACAACAATAACAATAATAATAACAATAACCATCATCCTACTTGGAACAGCTTTTATCCTCTGACGCTACCTGAACAGTTCCTAGGTTAGGATTCAAACTGTTGAGCTACGAACCAATCCCAAAGGCTGTGAATCTCATTAAAGATTAAATAATAATAATAATAATAATAATAATAATAATAATAATAATAATAA